AGGAAGATAGGTACCTTGTACTGGGTATCATTTTCTATCTGACGTGCAGAATTACCTTTGGTTTTCTGTTATGCTAACACTGATTTCATCAAGCAGCTACTATGTGCCAATCACTATGATAGGAACTTTATCTAGGGTTAGTCATCACAGCAACTTCCAAGCAAGTCCCCTTTGGCTGGGAAAATAAAATCACATCTATATGTTTCCTACCTTATTAAAACAATTTAGCATTTCCTTTCATTAGAAATGTAGACCACAAAACACCAGTAGTACTTGTGACTTTTCCATCTATAGAAATCACAGATACGTGCATATAGAACAGCAGTTGTTGAAGGTATCTCGAAATATCATTGACCCTCATTGCTGTTTCAAAAGTACCATAAGATTTGACCTGCTGCAAAATCTTATTTCAATGGGTTAATAAAGAAGCACATATGTTACTGCATCACACATTTTTAAAATGTTTTGGCAACTGAATTGCAATATAATTGGCTTCCTTTGTAATCCTATGCATTTTATTTTATGCATAAAAATGTTACTCTAAGAAGTGTTACTGTAGGTTTCAACAGACTGACAATGAAGTCTTTGACACAAAAGGGGTTTAGAACCCCTATAACCAGTCTCTCCTGTGATCATTCTTAATATTGTCCATCTGCTTTCCATATCGAAAACCAGAGTGATCTTTTTCCAAGGTAAATAATACCAAGATATTCCTTTGTTTAAACATGAAACAAGTGCAAACTCCTTAGTTTGACTGACCTGGCCCTGAAGGATCTGATTTTACACTGCTCATGTCTCCTTTCACAGTTTCTAATTCCTCTATCCCCTGCTCTCTCTGCTCCAGCCATGCTGGCTTCCTTCCATTTCTATAAAATTTCCTGGCCGTTTCCCACCTCAGGGGCTCTGTCCTTGCTGTCCCCTCTGCCTGGAATGCCTGCTTTTAGAGCAGCCACTTCATTCTCATGCTCCAGTGATGAGCCAGGACACTGCCTCCAGAGAGAAGCCTTCCTTGCAGCCTATCCCCAGCAGCAGCCTTCCTCTCTCCCACCTGCCCCCAGTTCATTTCTGTTTACTTCCTTCAGAGCACTTATCACAACAGAATCGTATTTTTTTTTGTACACTACTGAATCCCAGCATCTAGTAAGGTGTCCAGCACCAGGTAGAAACCTGATATTCACTGAATGAATAAATAAAGGACAGAATAAGTCAATGTGGAAGCTCTTATTAATTCATTTACGAGTGAGGAAATTGAGGCTCAAAGACAAATTATTTGTCCACGATCACTGAGTGGCAAAGTCATTTTAACTGAGGTCCTGGGCCTCCCCGTAATCCCTCCACCATTCCCTGTTACATTCTCACCAATAAGAATAGACCCAATACACTTTTTTATGGCATGGTTTCTTGGGACTTCAGTGTCCCGCTGCTCAAGGATATCTGCCTAACAAACCCTTGAAGATTTTTCTCTTGAGTATTTTTAGGAGGGCCAAGTTAAATAAAATTATATTACCTGGATAGAGTGATTCTGTCTGTCTCTGCATGTCTGTCTGTCTCTATAATCACAAATATATTTTCACCTCTGAATCTTATAAACATAAATACAAATAACAAAATCAAATGGAAGGAAAAAAATCCTGAAAAGAGTACAGTAAGGAAGAAAATTAGATAAACCCAGGGGTAAACACTGGTGTATAATAATACATGTGATAAGATACTGCATACTAGCTGATGTGGAACATGATTCTGGCCAAACACTTTCTAATAGCCAACACAAAGTGAGAAACACAATCAGTTACATGACATAATTTGAAGATTAAAAAATTCAATCAATTGCCAGGAGAAGCACAACTATTTCCATTTCTAAGTCCTGGGGGAAATTCCTCTTGTGAGTCTTTATAATGAAAGCATAATAGGATACAGTAATCAGCATTCTAAACTACAATCTTATAAATAAAAATACCAAGCTTCATAGAATGGTGTCTTACAGCATTCCTTTATAGATGTGGCTGGTATAATGTCAAAATGATGTGGCATTGTATTGCTTTGCCATTCATAACATGGTACATGGATCAATAACATCAGCACCACCTAAGAACTTGTTAGAAATGCAGAAAGACCCCATCCCAAGTGTAAATCAGAATCTGTGTTTCATTAATAAGATTTGTAGGTGGTTGCTATGTACATTAAAGTTTAAGAAGCACTGGTATAATGGTTGAGCTTGACCTGAGAAAAAATAATTGTAAGAAACTCTCATTCATTCATTTATTCAACAAATATTTGCTGAGACCTTGGCAGTAGGAAAGGATTTCTTTAAACATGACACCAAAAGCACCACCATAAAAGAAAATGTTGATACATGGGACACCATTAAAGTTGAGCAGACAATACTTGCAACAACACCAAAACAAGAAAAGCTGGGTAACTAAACATGTGCCAGACACTGTCTTAAGGCTGGGAACACAGCAATGAAACCAAAAAGCTCTACCCTTATGGAGCTTACATTCTAATTGATAAAGAAATTTTTAAAAATGAGTAAGATAAAGCAGAAAAGGGGGATAAGCCAGGGAATGGGGTTGCAATTTTAAATAAGGTAGACAAGAATGGCCTGATTGAGGAGATAAAGGCCTGTGCAAGGTCAGGAAGTCAGCTGTAAAAATACCTAACGGAAGTGTTCCAAGCAGAAAGAACAACAAGTACAAACACTGTGAGAAAAGAGAGTGCCTAAAACAGCAAGAGGGTCAGCATGGCTGAAGAAGAGTAAATAAAAAGTGGAGTAGGTATGCAGGGGGCTAGATCATGCAGGGCCCTCTTGGCTATTTTAAGTATCATAGCTTTAACTGTGACATGAGAAGCCACTGGAGAAAAGACAATAAGGGGGCACTGCAGGATGTTGAGCAGGGAAATAATATGATGAAAAGTGTTTTTAAGATTTGTTTCATAGAGGTAGATCGAATGGCTTGAGTGGGAGAATACAGCTCAGAGTACATTGCACTAATCCCAGTACATGGTGATTCATTCATTCAGCTCTTTATTAGGTGGCAAACATGTGTCAAGTAGTGTGGGGAGGATCTAAACTGGGGTGATAACAGAGGGAACTTCCAGAGGAAGATGAATATGCATGATATTGGAGGGAAAGAAACTCAGGACATAATGACTGATTATTTATAGAGAAATGACACGAGTTCACAATTCAATTTAATCAAGGTTTATGGATAATCTACTAAGTGCAAAGTCATATGATGGCTAGGACTTGGAGGTGAGGGTGGTGCATAAGGTTTGTATTTACCCCTCAAAGGGCTTCCAACCTGGCCTGCTTAGCCCCTGCCCTACACCTCTGAAGGCTGAACCACGTACTTGCATTGCTGCAGCTAAGGCTGGCACTGGAACTAGCTGACTTGCTCAGGTTAAGAGCTATTTGTTGTTGTTTTGGGGTTTTTTGTTTGTTGTTTTTTAATAACCATTGGAGCTTGTTGGGAGCAGCAGCCAAAGCATCTCAACTTGATTAGTACAAAAAGACAGATCTGGTTTGGCAGGAGGGCAGAAGAGAGGTCTTAAAAATGTCTTTGTGGATCAGTGTTGCAGACTGGCCCTGGACCACCAGTCTTTGGGCAAAGAGTCCTTCTGGTCTACTTCCACCTGTGTGACCTACTGTGACTCCCACTCTTTGCATTCCATTCTGGAGAAAAGACCCCAATGCGTGGAAAGTGAAAGAGGCAAGCTTAAGGAAAACAACTGGGAAAAAAACGAATTTGAAAATTGCCTATCACCAGACTGCAAGGTCTGGGAAACAGATGCAAATAAAATGCAAATGATATGCAAATAGGTCGGTGGGCTTCTAAGACGTTTTATACAACCGGAAGGGCCCTTGGGAAACTACTAGCTGATAACAGTGACTCAGAAGCAGAGTGAACTATTTCAAGACAACTTTGTCACACAGACCTTTGCTGCCCTTCTAGCACAGTGCACATTCTTTAGTAATCTTTTTTCCTCACTTGAATCAATCTCACCTGCTATAAATCAAAAGAAAAAAAAATCAAGTTTGCTTCTGCAGAGGTTATCTAAGTTAATTACACCTTTAAACAGCCTATATACGTTTAATTTTTCTTCAAAAGCCTTTCTCACTCAAATAAAGCCAAGTTAAATGTGTCACTTCCTGCCTAGAACAATATTTGGCTCCAGTGGATCATGAATGAAAGTGCCTTTCTTTCAGCTCTATTTACTATGATCCTTTAGAGGTTGTGTTTTCCTACTCCACAGGAACTGGCACATTCTCTTCTAATACCCATCCATATGCTGTATTCAAAGTGAATACAGAAAAAAAATATATATATATAGTTGTAAAATCCAATTCACTTGAAGGAGCCACTGAAAAGCTGTTTATCAAGAAAAGGTGCCCTGTCAAGAATGCTGTAGTCTTGATCATCCTAAGTGCACATTTTAAAATTAAAAATGCAAATTTGACCATAATAAAGTACATTTCTGTCTGCATTTATTTATTTAAAAAGGGGAAACTACCATCAAATATGCATTTACTAAAAGCCATTGAATGAACTAAATAATAAACAACACAGTAAGCACATGAGACCTACAGCTGTGCAGTTAGTCTCGGTTACAGACTCGGGGGTCCAGAAGCAACTTACCTCCACACCAGCCCCCCAAAGTTCCATTACTTTTCTAGTACTCTAATATTCGAGGGTACCTCAGCTTTGGACAACAGGGTCAAATGAAAGGAAATCTTTTTTCAGGGTTTTATCTCACTTGAAAGGGCTACACTGTCAGCCCCCAGAAAGCTGCTGAGCAAAGAGGCATCTGGCTGGTGCCATGTTCAGCGTAACACGCAAATAAAGCGCAAAGACGCGGAATCCCAACAAATGAGAGATTGAAAAAGAGAGGGAAGACAGACAAAAGCAGGAGATAAACCTCAAGAGACTTAAAAAATGAGAGAGCCAGACAAAGATTAACAAAGAGAGAGGGAGAACAACCAGGGGCAGTGCGGTAGGAACCTGGGAATTCAGGGAAGAGCGGCAGGGCAGGGTCGGGCAGGCGGCGAGCGCCCTCCCGCGGCCAGGGCTGCCTCTTACCTCCTGTGCGAGTTTCTGCTTGAGCACCAGCGCGGCACATAGGTAACCCGCGCGGCCCACGAACAGCTCGTCGGAGCCGCACTCCAGGAAGGAGACCGGCGCGCAGACGGCGCACAGAGCCCGGAACTTGCCCAGCGGCTGCACGTAGTCGGACCGGCCCAGGGCGTGGTACACCAGCGTGGCCACGGCGTACACGCCCGCGCCCCCGAGCAGGAAGGCAGCGCGTGTGTCGACGTCCGGCTCGCCCCACTCCTCGGCGCGGGCGCACGCGTCTATGAGGCGCTTGGCCGAGCGCAGGTAGCGCTCCCGGGCGGCGGCGAAGAGCGGGCTCTGTGAGACATGGTAGAGCATGTAGGCCACCCCAGCCACGCCGCCGTACAGCCCCCCCTGGCAACCGCTGGCCCCAGCCGTCGCCCCCCGGGCTTCAGCACCTCCCCTAAGCGGGGGCAGCTCCTGGAGGATGCGCTCTATGGTGGCGGTGACCAAGGGCGCCACCGCCTCTTCGCACTGACCCGCCAGCAGGCTGCCTTGGTAATCATCGAAGCGGTTGGCGAAGCAGCGCTTGGTGTCCATGCTGTTGCCCGTGCCCCCCAATGCCGAGCTGGGGACTGCTTGAGGGCGCGCCCTGCAGCCCCGCGCACCACCTCCGGCTCTCTGAAGCACTCGGATGGCGGTGTATATGGCGAGGATGGAGCGCGAAGAGTGAGACGGGAGTTGACAAGAGGAGGCGGGTGCGAGGAAGAAGCACGGAGCTGATGGCCAAGTGGGGCACCGGGCTGCTGCGAGGCCCAAGTGGCCAGGGAGAGCGCGGGGGATGCGCGTCGTGCGCCCCCCTCCCAGAGGCCGCGCCCTCGCTGAACCCGCCCCCTCCTGCGCCGCCGCAGCTCGGTCGCCTCTCCAAGGGGCCGAGGTGATCTCCTACAGGACCCACGCGGGGCCCGCGCCACTCCTCCCGCCCCGCCCTCGGCTCCTCCTCTCCCGGCGGAAGGCCAGGGACATGCGGGACACCGTTCCGGAATGCTGAGACTGGGCATACACGCACCTGGAAGTGAAGGTGACGACCTCAGTTCCTTGTGTATTGAAAGTGTGGTCCTCGGGTCAGCGGTGTCAGCATCACCTGGGAGTATATTAAACTCCCGGCGTCTCTGGCTTCGTCCCGGACCTATTCTATCAAAATCTAAATATTTAGCAAGATTCCCAGGTGATTCGCATTAAAGTTTGAAAAGCCAAAGAACTAGGCTAGAATACCAGGGAAAAACTGAGCACCTTTTTCAAAGCCTGTTTTGCATCTTGGTCACTTTGGAGTTCTCATTCTGAGTGTTTCATTCCCAAAGACTGGGGGTTTGAGCTCATCATGTTTCGTGCATTAGAATGGTGAAATGCCCCATACAGAAACTTTTTCTTGGCTTTGGTTGTTGTGTTGTTTTTCTTGGGGTATACAGGAAAAAGTCGAAAAACAACAGGTTAAGGCAAGGGAGTGGGGAGTCCCTGTCCCCCATGCCTGAATAGTAATTGCCCAATAAATACCTTCAGGTTATTAACTGGTTAATGTAAAGGTAAACGCTGTGTAAGAATTTAATTAGACCTTTAATCTTTTTTCCTGTCCTTAGTCTCCTCCTTCCCTCCCTCCTTTCCCGTGTTACCTTCTGCTTTCCTTCCATGGGCATTATTGAGGGTCTCCTATGTGTCCTGGAACCTTGAAATAGATGGATGAATAAAAGACATGATCCTAATCTCTTGGAGCTTATAGTTCAGTGGGAAAAACAGAAAATGAACAGAAATCACACAAACTAGTTGCCTTTCTTGTGCTCAGCTGTTTTAAAACAATCATTCCTTTTCCAAAGTGTTGACTCTTGAAGGCTAGAGAGGTCACCTCTCCCAGTGTTTTTTTTTTTTTCTTTTGTGTGTGTGTGTGTGTTATTTATTTATTTATTTATTTATTTATTTGAATCATAATTGATTATACGTATTTTGGGGATTCAATGTTGACATATGTTGATCAAATCAATATCACTAGTATGGATATTGTTACAAATTGTACTTATTCTTTATGCCTCTTGTCCAATCTCTCCCTATCCCCCTCTTCCTCCTCCCTCCCCCCACTGATAACCCTAGATTTCTTCTCTCCTTCTGAAAGAGTATTGGTTACTCTGTTGATTTGTTGCCTAGATGATCTATCCAATGCTGAGAGGTGTGTTCAGGTCCCCCAGTATTATCATAGAGCAGATGCTTCTTCTGTCACTCTGGAATGGGCTTTGTGGAGAGAGACATCCTCTTTGTTGGTCTCTGCTGGTGACTCTCTTTGTGTCAATGCACTCCAGTGGCTGGTGGACCATCTGGGTGGTGGTTGTGACGTCTAGCTGCTTTCACGGCAGCCGTGGTTACTATGGTGGATGTGGTGGGCCACCTACATGGAGGTGACGTTTTTGACATGCTCCTTGGTGCTGGTGGTATGCCTGGTTGTGGGGGTGGGACCGGTCCCCAGCTCTATGCCTCGGGGCCCCACCACTGGTGGATTCCCTAGTTTTGGGTTAGGGGTCCAGTTCCCGGCTCCAAGACCTGGGACCCCCAGCGGGTCCCCAAGGTGCTGGCAGTGTGCCTGGATGTGGGAATGAGGTCTGGTCCCTGACTCCATGCCCTGGGCCCCCAGGTGGGTCCCTGAAGTGCTGATGGTGTGCCTGGATGTGGGAGTGGGGTCCAGTCCCCGGCCCCATACCCTAGACCCCTGGGCAGGGTCCCAGGACGCTGGCAGTGTGACTGGTGGTAGGTGGAGGTTTTGTTCCCCAGCTCCCTACCCCAGTCCCCGGGTGGGACCCTAAGGCACTGGTGGTGTGCCTGGGCCGGAACTAATTTGTTGTCCTTTCTTTACTTCTAAAACAGGGGAACTTCCTGTGGGAACCAGGACTTGAGCTGTGTGGTTGAGCTAAATTGTTGCTTTGCTGCTGTTTCCCTAGGGAAGGCTTTCTGTGCAGCTCAGTGTTTAATGGTTGACCTTATATGTACTTCTGGCTCTCCAGAGACCCAGTGCACCTGGGTTGTGTAGAAACTCTGATCTGGGCCTCCAGAGACCCAGTGCACCTGGGTTGTGTAGAAACTCTGATCTGGGCCTCCAGAGACCCAGTGCACCTGGGTTGTGTAGAAACTCTGATCTGGGCCTCAGTTTTTTCATCAAACTGCACACCATGCAGTTCTGCATTCCCTACCTGTCTCCTCTGAGTGTTCCTGTGCTGATTGTGGGATGGATCGGCTGTCCTTGCTGTGTCCCAGTGTTCTCTCGGTGGGCCCATCAACCCCACAGCCCATGCTCCAAACGGTTCCCATGGGACAGGCCCTGAACCAGTCCCTTGCAATGACTCACCGGCCTCTGAATGGCTCCCCTTTTTCAGCTGTTCTGGCTCCTCGCTCCTGTGTGGGTCCACAGGAACCCTATTAGAGGTCTTGCTGTCCTGGGGGCCACTAAAGCTCTCTTCTCCCCTGCTGCCTCCAAGCAATTCCATCTGAAGAGTACAGCTGCGGCTTCTGCCAGCTTCTGCTCCATGCACTCAGCAGCTCTGGCCTTAAAGTGGCTGTGGCCCGAAATACTCCAAGCAGTTTTTTCTTTCTCTCATCGTGGCTTCTTCTGCCTTCATGAACTCCGTATGTTTCTCCTCTTCCCCTGAACTCTAGCAGCCCCAGCTTGGCTGTGTTTCCATTTTTATAGTTGTAAATTGGTTGATTTGTGGGAGAGACTGACACTGGTGACCATCTGTTCTGCCTTCTTGACCAGAACCTAACTCAAGCTTCTTTTTTTTTTTTCATTTTGATAGGACTGTGCATGACAAAAAACAAGTGACTCACAGAAAAGTTGCTGACACTTTGTGGAGAGAACGACTGCCCCACTTACTTGAAAGACCAGTTTTGTTTGGAGGCACGTTTTTTCCTCAAAAATGTTGTCACAATGACTGGGAAGCAGAGATTTAATAGCCTGCCCCTCTGCTCTGTCTTTGTTTGAGGTAGTGTGAGAAAAGACCTCAGTTTGCTAAGATTATTGCCAGAACTGACACATCTACATGGTTCAAGGACAGTATGGCCATCATCCTTCTATAATGCTGCCACAACAATTTTATTTTTTAATAATGATAATAAAGCTAAGTCCATTTTAGGCAGGGACCTTGTTTTATTGAAGGAAGGACATCAAAGAAGCAACTGGAATGTTTAGTTTCTCCTTGAGGCTTCCTTCCTCATCCCTCAATTGTAATAGGAATTAGGAGTGATTTTTTTGTGCTCTTGGAAAAGGAAACAGAAAATGCAAGCCCTTACCAGCAGAAATGAAGCCTTATTCCACTTCATTCCTCCATACCTCACCTTTGTTATGAATCTAAAAGCAACTCTATTAATTCTGATTCTGATTATCTTTCCACACACCCCAGTCCAAAGGTAGCACCAGCAGCAATGACAGGGACCTGTGCTGACTGGCTTCAAAATAGAGTTGTAAGCAAGTCTCCAAGAGAAAGAACTCCACTGTTTTATAGTTGTGTCACCTTTCTGTTGCTCCAAAATGCTGGATAGCAAACAACCACAAAATTGTGTAGCATATAACAGTAAGTTTATTGTTCATGCATCTGGGATCTTGGCCGGGCTTATTCATTTGTCTGGAGGTGGGTTGGCTCTCACTTGGGGGGACTGAGATGACTGGGCTCTGGTCCATATGTCTCTTGTCCTCTAGCAGGTCAACCCCAGCATGCTTGCATGGCAACAGCAGAGGGCAAAAACAACAGTAGTAACACGCAAGACTTCTTAGGATCTAGTCTCAGAAGTGGCACACTTTTCTATCTCATTCTACTGGCAAATAACATGAGGAAATATAAGGTGTCATTATGGAACTCCAAAGTTCCATGATGAAGTGTGTGGATACAGGGGAGGGTAAAATACTGGGGTTCCTAGGGATTTCTTTTGGACATTAATGCAAACAAGTAAAACAAGAATCACAAGATGGATATGAAACAGCATGATTTGGGGGAAGCAAGCGATTAATGATATACAGAAGCTCTCTTGAACTCACAGGATAAATTAACTCTTATCCTATAAAATTCTTTCCCAAAGACCTCTTCACTTTGTTTGCCATGTACCATCACCTGGCAAAACTCCAGCACAAAACATTCTCCAAGGCAGAGCAACCTATATATACCACATGAAGCCTCACCTTTAATTGTTGTTTACTTAACTTGCAAGCAGTGTTTTTTCTTTAAAAATCATTACTCCACTAGAATACACTCTCCATGAGAGTAGGGCTTTTGTTACATTTATTTACTGATATGCACCAAGAGCCTAGAATAGTCCCTAACTATTCTACTACTATTACATGTAGTAGGTACTCACTAAAAGTTTATGAAATTATGAATAAATTACCACAAGAGTGCCGTGAAGTAGCCTGGAGTGTAGAATACAGAGTGAGGCCTTTGCTGAAACTTTAACCTGACTTATTTAAACTCCTACTCTATTCCTTTTGCTCTTGTGAGTGCAAGAATGTAAACATTCTGCAGTTTCTGCCTCCTTACTTTGTTCCTCTACAAGATCTGGTGACCTTTATACTTTACCTTGAATTCAGTGACTCTACAAGTTCTATTTTTATTAACCCTGTGTGGCAGATTATATTTTCCAAATATGCCCACGGCATATCTC